CAGTGTCACCCTTACTACACGTGGCTTACCTCGAGGTGCCCTCTGCGTGTAGTTTACGTTACTTTGCTGACCTGCTGTCAGGCCCTAATTCGCTGCACAAATTAGACCACTGTTCCAGGTCAAGTGATGCCGTTTGTTTGAGCAAATTGTTGTTGAATGCTGGTAAATTAAACAGGACAGGGCAGTTTGGTCGACTAAACTCGAACATAAGTTCGGTTCTTGGTTGCTCGCCTTACTTTATGAGGTCACCAACCCTAACCGTCTTCAGAGTGCTACTATCCAGTGGCCTTACTGCACAGGTTATGTTTACCGGAGAATGGTGTCGGCCTTTGTGTGGCATTAGTATTACCAGTCACTCTCACTACAGAGATTGTACTATTTTTACTAGTAGAATACTCAATAAATGAAGCCACGAGTATCTTAGGTTCCACCACATTTGTAATCCTGATCTGGTGAGCCAGAGTACCTGCGTTTCTAGATGGCTTTGGCAGTGAACTATTTGCGTTTTCTAACGTAAAACTGAGTAAGAAGGTCATATAAGCCGGAACCATGAGCATCTGTTATTCCGCATTAACTCATAATCCAGCACCATCACTCCTTCGTCACAAAGTCCTACACACGTCGGCTGCGAAAACTGCAGGGAACAGAAGTTCAGATCTAGCAGTCATCAAATTTCCTGGAGGATGCCCGTAGTGGATCATAGAAGTTCGTCAATTCAGATGAGTCCCAGCCACTTCGTTTTCAACGGTTGGTTTGTTTATTTGTCCTGGTTGGATCAAAATGTAGATGACTGGGTTTTCAAGGAACGAGACTGAGTATTTCTGCTCACTTTTGGTACCATGGTTAGTAAATACACCCTTGAAGAGATGTGTATGTTATATTCACGCTTCAGCAGGTAGCAGGTTATGTGGCTAGGGCTCAAGTGTAGCAGTACAGATAGCCACTCAGCACTCATAGGTGTTATTTTTAATAAGAGTCAATGGAAAATCAGCACGAAGTTGTCCAAGCAGTGAGACCTACTGGTTCCTGGACTCTCACTGAAGATCATCATTACTCACAGTTTCTGGTTGTCCATTTTCGCCACCCGTAACTTTTCTGTGTTCAGCCGAAGTAATGTTTTAGTTGTCTCTTCTGACGGTTTGTTGTCCTTCGCCTGTAGATTTTAGACTTAATAGGTCGTGAGACAAGTCATCTATGAAATCCAAATCTTCTAGACATAGATCTAGATCTTCCTAACATAGAAGTAGCCTGTAGACCAAGATCTGTAGCGCCGGGAGTAACTGGATTACCTCAGCGTATAATATGTAAAAAGTATTTCGATAGTCGATGAAATTGACAGTTATGACTGGATGCTTCTATTGCTGTACCATGTAAATTTGCATTGTTTCCGTTTAATTTAAATGCATAATACGAATGATTCCACCGAATGCGAAATTCATGACTCTTATGGCCGCTGCTTCGTTGTCTGGCTAAGCGATATTGTGTCACTGAGTATTACAGTGTCGAATAAACATCGCATTTAAGTGCATAGTAGACTGTGGCTCTGGAATGAGTTCGAAAATTGCACGTTGTTCACAACCCTAGTCCGCAAATAACTTGGTTTTGCTGCAGCCATCCTATTCCAGGAGTGGTTCCCACATATAGAACTAAAGTCCCTCGAAAATTTTGTTGAAGACTAATTCAAAATTCCCTGGAAAATATATCACTTATATACGTAACTCGCTAAATGCCTTCTATCTGATGCCGCAAGATACTGCAATAAATCCATATTCAGACAATCAAATTAAAAATAAACAAAATCAAATTCTGTTTGTTTGTTAACAGCATATTTCTCCTCATACTGGGCTATAAGTGACGTTGTAATCTGTACTTCAAATATAGCGACTATTTTCGGCATCACCAGCAAACCCCCAATATGAAGTTGTTTCAGTGATTTTGAAAAGTACATTTAAGAATACGAACCAGTGTCCTCTCACCAAAGTTATAAACAACAAAAGCAATCTTAATTTGGAGTCACTACTTCTCAGGGTTTGTCGTCACCAGTAGTGATTTATTTGACAGTACTATTCAACCCGAACAATTAGATCGCGCAGTATGGTTATCGAGATAGGGGTTGCCTTCCTTACCTAGAGCTTAAGAACATTTCTACATGACAAATACACTTGCAAAGTTGTTTAAGCTTGAATTTGTAGAGAGGTTGTTTTTGAATTTGGAGGATCTTCAAGAGTTCAGGAAAGTCTTGAACAGTCTGCCTAATTTAGTAACAATGAAATACTGATCTCTGTATTGATTGGAAACACGTTTGGAGTAGCATCGATTTTGTCCGTAAATACCAGCGACGGAAGTAAATTCCAGAAGTTCACTAATCTGTCTCTACGGGATGAAATCACTTTTGCACAACAAAGACTGTGGATTGGAATAAAACGTTCATACAAAAGTAACGTGCCAAAAATGGCTCTCCATTCATAAATGAGAGCTAATTTTGCTAGCTGTCTTTATCCTACCATAAAAATACCTCACAAAGGTGATTTCAGGCGCTACGGAGTCCACCAATCAGGAGGAGATATCGCGAGTTAGGTAGCGACTCCTTCCCTTGCCAAATTAATACTCAATATTATACCGAAAATGTATCTTTTGTGTTTAGCAGTATAGAGATTTAGATAAATGGATATGCTGTTTGTGACACTATGTGTGCAGTGGAATTTATGCACGAGTATGACAACGCTGTCTTCCGAAACTCAAAATGACTTCTGGAGAAGCAGCCAGGGTAAAACCATATAACAAACCGCCAGATGCTAATACAAGGCTTGTGCGTCATTTATGTCACCACTTAATGTCTAAAATTAAGTTTAGTTCAGTCTTCCTGCAAGTTCACTGGTTCTGGAAGACCAGAGGTGACTATTCGTTCAACTCTCAGCATTTTTGTATAGCACATCCATATGAAGAAAGTATTTCTTTAACCTCTCTGGAAGTTGATACGATTTTCAGTCATAAATTCTACAATCAAGTTATTGCTGTGGTGGGAAGCCAAAGCATTTGAATCTGGAATATCAAATGTAGGAACACTATATATATTATTGTTCCCATAGACAAAATGACTGCAACCTTATAATTTTACCATGAACCAAATTTATGTAATTTAAATGATACTTATCCATGCCTGTACAATTGGTGTGTCCTACACAGGTAGGAAAAAATATATTTTATGAAATTACTATTATTAAATATGTTTACTAATCGTATATGTAATTTATCATATTGATGATGCCTGTAAACTGGCGTCCCTGATGTACAAAATGAGAATATACTATTATTTATTTATTATATCTTTACCTTTTCCTTCTCATTCATTTGCCCAAAAGTCAACATAGTCAATACAAAAATACTTCACATATTTGATATGAACATTTCGAATCCCTGTATAATATATTCCAACATTTGTTTCTTGAGTGATTCTCAGTTGATTTGAGGCCGCTTGTCTCTATAATAAACACCGTACACTGTTTCACGAAGTTTAACTCTGGAGTCTATAGAAGACTGAAATTGGTTATCCACTTCTCTACAGAGATGAAGCTACTGTGGAGGGCATGGAATTTTGCACAGAAGTGAACTTCGCACGCTCTATATGCAAGGAGGAATTCTCGGTTCATCATCGTTTTCAGTTTACACAAATGATTTCCTGAATAAACTGATCTTCCCAGCAGTTATCTATGCAGATGATGCAAAGCTGTAGACAGCCGTAAGAAATAAGCAGGTATCAGACTGATTAAAGGAAAGCCTATCACTCTCGATAACTGATCCAGAGAAAACACCACAGCTTACTAATGTTTGACAGAAGTGGAGTGAAGGATCTATCACTGCTTATGCGGAACCGAAAGAGTACTCACAGAAACAGAGTGAGAACTGAAACTATTGATGAAGGACGAACTTGACATAGAGACTAACTTTGTAGGATCAAAAGGTAATTTTTCGAATTAAACGGCTACAAACTGTATGCATGTATGCATTTTTTCGTTTTCATGAATTTTGAAAGACCTTGTTAATGGCTCACAAACCAAAATCCTCTAATTTCGACCTCGAGGATCTGACCTTGTTACCTGGTTTAACGGTGAGTAATTATGTTGGTGTTTTTGTGTCATTCATCTTCGCTGATAGTCATCTATGCGTTTCACGATGTATGTATGCAAACTGGTTTCATATTTCAAATAAAAATTGTTGTTAACAACAACCCAGTCGAAAAAAGTGGTTAAATAATGAGTGAATAATGGGCACTACCTATAGTAAGATAATGAACGAATTTCGGTTAGATGACGAGAATTTTATTATTTCGACCATTGTCTGACCGAAATTTCACCATTGTGACCATTATTTTACCACCAATGGCAACGATTTCGGGCGCATGCGTTGCAATGCAATGCATTGCAGATTTTTTGGGGCAGACTTAGGGGCATTGTCCCACGTAAGTTTATGCGCCCGAGGTTTTTTGCCCCAAAATTTCTGCAGTATGCTCGAAAATCCTTACCGTTTGTCTTAAATCTATCTATATTAACCATTATATAAGCATTCTGTTCACATTTCTGTCCGAATGGGTATAATTGTACCTATGTAATTGTGTATTGTATGTTTAGAGAAATATCGGATAATAATTTCACCCGTTCTAAAGGTGTTATATCAACTGTCTTGTACAGTTGGAATATCTATTGTAGGGTTTGTAGCATATTATAATACCCAAATGAAAACCCGTGTGTATTTTTAGGACACATTAATGTAAGAATTTTTGGGAGCTGTGTCAAAATTACATACATATATACCGTATATTACAATATATAATGACATTGTATAACCTTGGTTATGTTGCATTATAAATGAATTCATATGGTTCGTGAAAACCAACTTAATTTAAGTTGATTTTTGGCAATTTTTATTTGTTTTTTAACTAGTGTGTCAGCTTGCTCTGAGCCTATCGTCGTCAGGTTAAGGTTATCGCACTAATCCTCACCATGCTTGGAGAGAATAAAGGGAAAAGAGCTGAATATATTCGGAGAGTCTTATGCTTATCTCGAAATCAAGATAGTTCTGAAGACGTCTGTTCTGGATCGCCCAAATGTAATTGTTTTGATGTTGATTTACTTCTTGGTGAATACGCTGAGTTGGTTGATAACATGAAAAATGGTAAGTTTGTGAAAATAGTCTATGAAGTGTAGGGCTTAACAATTACGCGGAGGGAGCGCTTAAACTTGCTGAAGGCTGCAGAAATGGTCTGTTTATATCTTGTTACTCTATTTAGTAGAGAGCAATCATTGGCGCAGTGCACTTACCACTGATGTAGTGTTGAACGCCCTAGAAGGAGTTGTAAGTTAAGCACATTTTTACCTTTTCTTAAGGCTAATTCTCAGCCATGCCCTTTAATTAAGCAATCTATACCTAGTGATTTCGATGTTGCTAAATGTAAGCGATATGTTCTACAAAATCATATATTCAGTTTGCAGTGTGCTTTCTGGATTATTCGAGGAAGAAAATTGTATTAAGCAGGTAAGAGAAATGGTTATGCATTTCCATTTATAATTGTTTCTTAACTTACTGAATAGAATAGGGGGACCCTGAATGGGTATAACAGCATTATGGACTATGTAAACTTCTTCCTTCCTTGGTTGCACAATTAATTGTAATTAGCATTGTATTCTATTGAATTCGCGTTTATGTGTGAAGACACCTTATATGAATATAATTTCATTGTAGCCATTTCATAGTTCATTTGACTGTTTAAGATCATGTAACTCTCTTTCTGTACAGTGAACCACCATGAGGTCAGATAACGGAAGGACGACTACTGTTGGTTCGCATGGTGTCTAACCACAACCTGTGGTACTGACAATCAAAAATCTCAGAATGATGAGAATATGTTAATTGCAGTAAAGACATGGTTTTGGAATTCATACAATAAAGAATGAGTAAATATGGGAAACTAACCAATGAATATATATATATATATTTATTATTATTTTTATTATTGTTCCCTTGCGCTCCTAGGGGAACGTAGGGCTTCAACTACACGTCTCCACTTGCTTCTGTCTTCTGCTGTACTTTTCACTTGCATCCATGTTAGTCCATACTGTTTCTTCACACGATCTCCATGTCACCCTTGGACGTCCCACTCGCCGCTTCCCTTTCGGGTTCCACTCGAGGGCCTGACGCGCGATGTCACCCAGCGGCCTCCTCAGTGAGTGTCCAATCCATCTCCACTTCCTCCTGCATATTTGTTGGGTAATTGGTCCTTGTTTTGTTTGTTCCCATAGCTTCTTGTTTGTGATTCTTTCCGGCCATCTAATCTTCAGTATGGAGCGAAGACAGTTGTTGATAAAGGTCTGCAACCTGTTGGAAATATTCTTTGTGATCCGCCAAGTTTCTGATCCGTATAGAAGAAGAAGTGACTTGACGTTTGTATTGAAAATCCGAATTTTGTTGTTGTTGATGTTGAGTGACGAAGATTTCCAGATTGGTTTCAGGTTGATGAATGTGTTTCTCGCCTTCCCGATTCTCGTTTTGACATCCTCGTGCGTCCGTTCCTCCTGTAGTTGAGACAATGCTCCCTAGATAAGTGAAAGAAGTAACCTCTTTAAAATGCCTCCCATTGATGGTGATTGGCGCTGGATGTTGCTGTTGTTGTTGTTGTTGGTTGGTTATTTTCATAACCTCCGTCTTGTTTATGTTCACCTGGAGTCCTGTCTTTGCTGCTTCTTCGACCAGTTTGTCGGTTTTTGCTTGTAAGTCTTCGATTTTGTGTGACATCAAACATAAGTCATCCGCGAAATCCAGGTCTTCTAGATTCTTAACGTCGGTCCAGGATATCCCTGTCTTCTCGTTTCCCACTGTCTGACGCATAATCCAGTCCACCACAATTAGGAATATCATTGGTGATAATAAGCACCCTTGTCTGACTCCTGTGTTTACTCGAAACGCCTCGCTGAGTTTTCCGTTGTGGATCACTTGACGTATGCCGTTGTCGTATAGCTGCTGAATAAGGTTGATGAATATTTGGGATACGCCGTAGTACTTGAGTAGTTTCCAAATTACTTCGCGGTCAACGCTGTGGAAGGTCTTCTCAAAGTCTATGAAGTTGAGGTAGAGGTTTGATTGCCATTCCATGCTTTGTTCGATGATGATGCGTAGAGTTGCAATTTGGTCAGAACATGATTTTCCTTTCCTGAATCCAGCTTGTTCTGGTCGGGGTTCTGCATCCAGAGCGTCCTTTATTCTCTCCAGGATGATGCGACTCAGGATTTTACTTGGCGTCGACAGGAGCATGATTCCTCGCCAGTTCTTGCAGAGTCCTACGTCACCCTTCTTTGGTAGTTTCATGAGGTAACCTTTCGTCCAGTCAGTAGGCACCTTTCCCTCCTTCCAGACTTTTTGCAATAATGGAGTCAGCATATCTGCTGTCGTTTCTGGGCCCGCTTTCAGTGCTTCCGGGGTATTCCATCTGGTCCAGCTGCTTTTCCAGCTTTCAGAAGCTTGATTGCATTCAAGCCTTCAGCTTTCGTTGGAGGATTAGTGTCAACTTGCAGTTGTGTACGTGCTGATGTTGGTATTTCTGGATGGGTTGTAGATGGTGGTCGGTTCAAGAGTCCTTTGAAGTGGTCCTCCCATCGTTTAGTCTGTCTTTCTTCCTTGGTAATTGGGTTCCCTTGGCTGTCTTTTATAAGTTTCACTTGTGTTGATCTCTTCCCGGATAGAGACTTGGTTATCTGATACAGTGTCCTCAGGTCCCTTTTGCCTGCTGCCTCAGCTTCAGTAGCCAGGTTGTCGTAGAATTGTCTTTTGTCCTTCCTGGCACTCTTCTTCACTTCTTTGTCCAGTGCTGTGTAAGTTGAGCTCAGCGTCTCTTTCTCTTGTCCATCTTTGCATTGAATCATTTTCTCTTTCACCATTCTCCTCTCCTCTATTAGCTTCCAAGTGTCCGTTGAGAGCCATTCCTTGTCTTGTTTCTTCTTTCTTCCTAAAACCGTTGAACACGTTTCGTTGAAAATTACCTTCAGAGAGTTCCAATGGTCTTCCATGGATGATTCCTCAGTGGTGCCACGTAGTGTTTGCTACTTTGCTCTGACAGTTGCAGTGAAAATGTCCTTTGTGATTGTCTCCTTCAGTTTTTCCGTGTTGAACTTGCATTGTGGTCTATCCCCAGCTATCCTCGAGGCTTTTAGCTTCAGCTTGAAAGTCCCTTGTACTAGATAGTGGTCTGAGCCCACATCTGCTCCTCTCCTCGACCTTGTGTCCAGTAGACTCCGTCTCCACTTCCTTGAGATTGAAATGAAGTCTATCTGGTTTTTGGTGTGTCCATCTGGTGAAATCTCTGTCGCCTTGTGTATATCCCTGTGTTTGAACACACTGCCACCGATCACCAAATCATTGAAGGCGCAGAAGTCCGAGAAGAGTTCGCCATTTTCGTTCATTTCACCGAGGGCCTCACGACCCATGGTGAGTTCTCTTCCTGTATTGTCTCCTCCTAGCTTCGCATTCATATTGCCTATCAGGATTTTGATATCGCCATTTGGGACGTTGTCCATTACTGTTTGTAGTTGACTGTAGAAGGCCTCCTTCTTCTCCTGTTCTGAGACGTTTGTAGGCTCATAGCATTGAATGATTGTAACCTTCCTTCCTTTTGAGTTGAACCTGGCTGTCATTATCCTGGAGGAGATTGGTTCCCACTGCATGAGAGCTTTGGCCGCTGTTGGTGACATCATGATGGCTACTCCCTCGGTGTGCTCGTGATTGTCCTCTGGGTGACCGGAGTAGATTATTGTCGCTCCAATTGGTAGTTGGCTCCTTCCACATCCGTTCCATCTGCTCTCACAGATTCCCAACACTTCTATTTTATATATTCTCATTTCTACGGCTACCTGGGCAGCCTTTCCAGCTTCGTACATTGTACGAACATTCCACGTCCCCATCCTTATTTTTGCTTTCATCGAAAGAAGGCACATCGGCTGACTGGCTTCCCGAAGGCTTTTACCAGCCTGCGTCATTTCCCTTCTCCGATTCCAGCGAAAAATAAGGCTATTGTTTATGTTTTTAGAATTTTTAATATATTTGTGCGTTGAAGTTTCTGTAGCAATTTGGTTAAGTTTTGGGGATATGGTTACTAGCACCACGCCCCAACTCTCCCTCTTTATCCGGGCTTGGGACCGGCTAGAAAACTAGTGAGCTAGTAATCTAGGCGAGGTTATATATATATACATATATATAATATAGCAAAATTCAAAAAGTTCTTGATTTGATGTCATATTTAGATATGCTTCCTCATGATTATTTTTCCTACTCCACCTAACGTGAAGCATCGGAATATAGGCTCTATGGACAAGCGTTAACCTGCAGCCACGAATTCACTATTTTTCGTATGTAGCACTTAATACTTGACTTCTGTATCAATCAAAGATTCTACTATGCAAAAGCTGTGCTATTGTCTAGAAATTTAAAAATTTCACTTTTTATTGGCCAGGTTTATATGATGAGAGCAGTTATCATGTAAATAGCGTTTTGAGTCTCATCCGAAATCGTGTTGACGCTCAACTCAATAGAAGTGACAACTCCCCTTTCGGAATCTTCAGACTTTAAAAGGGTGTCGTGCTTTGGTTACACGACTTTATCAGCGCCTCACAGCCTCGAATTCCCTTAAATTAGTACGGTTTCAATACGTGAATAGTGTAGCATATTTCCATATCGTTGCCTGTCAACATGCTGGTCTTAAGGGGTTCTTTTGTGCGATTTTGATTCGAAAGCATCTGAAGTCTGCCACCCATTATCATTGTTTAACACTACTATAGGGCTAATTGAGGTATAATTGTCAAGCAATCCTTTTTGGTGGTAGGTACCACAAATATATTAAAAAATGTAATCAGACCATAGAATCCCTATTTACACAGCATGGATCTATAAAGCAGGAAACTATGATGAAGAAAGTCAGATGGAGTTTAAGTCTTCTTTTGTGATAAACTGCTATTTGCTATCTAGAACACAAACAATTCTAAATTTCATTTGCCTGTCAATTTTATCTTTAAAACATTTCTGTTTATCCAATGTTTGGTTAACACATGTCATTTTTGAGTTACCAGTGGCTTAACTTCACCTATCCTTTTCATTTGTGGCACTTTCTCTTATAGATTTCATTCCTCAAGTTGCTTTTTTCGTATCGATTAGTGTTTATCAAGTGTACTAGCTCTATCTTAATCCAACCATATTATATTTACGCTTGTAAAAGTTATGTAACCCTTTTATCAAATATAACAGAGAACATAGGTACTCACAGATATTGACAATGCAGAACATAGCATTACTGCGTAGTTGTCTGAGTTACAAAAATGGAAATCAAATAATGTAAGGTCATAGAGTTCTCTCAGACTAAGAAAAGAGACTAAGGGACTAAAAATGTAATGTTATAATTCGGATAAATACCTCTGAATGTATCGGAATTCATGCACTTGATTCCCATTCATATACTATAGAGTGGGATGCCACAAGTTTTCATCACTGGTGTA